TATTGGTTCGATTATAGAACGATTGTAAACGTTCCAGAAACGTTGAAAATAGTTCATTTGACTTGACGTAAACAGGAGACGTTCAGAAATATAATCGGGACCAGGTCTCTAATTAGTCTGGAAACGGGGGACCTAATTCTTGCATTCTGTGAAAACGGGTAAGATTGGCTATAATGTAATTATCTTAATGTTCACTGTCGTTACTTTTTAAAAACCCAGCGAAGCGGGTCCTTGCAGCTAGATTCTAGATTACTTAGAAAAACAGTCTTTTATATATATAAAAAACTATATTACATACAAATGTACGAACAAATAAAAACCCAGCGAAGCGGGTCCTTGCAGCTAGTAGCTATATAAAAACTGTGCTTAATTTAGCTACTAAAGAAGTTGTCCAAAAACCTAACAAGTGCACAGTTGGTACAAAGAGTTCAGTAAAGAAGCCAGGCCTGGGTTTACTAGGAGTTGAGGAAAAACCACAATCTTGTTTGCATAAAAAAAACTAGACTGAATCTAATTTATTAGATAAGTAAAGTCCAGAGCAGACTATATTTTAGAACAATTTGACAAACTATTTTGACAGGTACTACTTGCTTTGCACAAAAAGCAAAGAAATAACAATTTGAACAGTACAAAAAGAAGTTTACTTTGAATGACTGTTGTTGAACAAAACAACTCAATCTATCTCTGACAATTGAATCTATCAGAACTACCAAACAAAAATGATTTAACAGTTTTTACCCCAAAATAAGTGCCTCTTAATTCTAACTTAAATCTAAATCTCCACCTCCTGATACACAAATCTATATCAAAATTTACAAAAGTAATTTTTCTCAAACTTCCTATTTATCACAATTGGAATGCTTTTGATTCAAATTGTTCACTTTTAAGTTCCTTTGGAAAAAGGATCTGTCCTCTTTCCTTGGCCCTTCTTTTGAAGTCTTTTAAGCACTGAATGTATCACATTCTTAATATCATTGCATGCTTATTTACATACTGCTGCTAGTTAGCAATAATACAAACAATTTTCCCCTGCAGTTTTAGACAGAATATTATTACTATTATGTTGATCAATTTATGCTGCAATGCAACATAATTTAATAGCCATTTTTAATTCACTAATTCAAAATAACTGTGTCCATCCATTTTATCAGTGTTTGGTTATCCAAGATAGCATTGGTCCACATTACCTCATATACTCTAATAATAGGAGTTCTACTATATTTGTTATAGCATTTTGCTGTATGATATATTGATTCATAAGTAAAATTTTTCTGAAACGAGCTATATACATTCAAATTTTTTTCTTTCCTGTTTCATTACCTTCATATGCAATGTAGTTAAATGGATCGACATTTATACAGTAACAATAGCAATAATTATTTGTTAATACAAACATAATTATTACAATTTGTACAGTATGAACAAGAAATTATATACTCCAGTGGTTTTCAAAAATTGCCTACATAAACTACGTTACTAAATTAATTTTATTTTTTACTATTTTCTAGTTTTATTATATTCATTTAATAAAATAATAATCTAAATTGCTAATTTTGTGTGTTTTTCTCAGTAAAACGTTTCAAATTCTTTTCCAGATATATTTCAGAAAATTCAAAAGAAGTGACTATTTAGTAAAGAATGCCAAATCCATTTTAAAATGGATTGAAAACTGTTATAATGTATTTAGTCATAATTTTTATTATATTATGATGTTTCCACGAGTAGAATAAAAATGTAATTAAAAACATTGTTTAATTTTCTAAATTACTTAAACAACAAAATAGACAGACATTATTCTTATGTATAAATACATAAACATACAGTGACTCAAAATACTGATTTTATTAAAATATCAGCAAGTTTGACTATTTATTAGTGCAGATTTAATATACATAAGCAAGAAGAATATGATTTATATAATCGGTGATGTATCTGCATGGTATGCAGGAATTGTATGGTTTGAATCCTCTGGGCAAAACCTTCCAGATGTTCTAAATTAATTTATTGATTAAATTAATAATTAGAAAAATCTGAACTGTAGTGAAAAATCCATTTTTAGTAAAATAAAGTGCCAGAATTTAAAAATTGAGACACAAGTAAAAAAGATAGTTATTAAAATTCACATTAAAAAGATATGAATTAAGAAGCACAGAAAAATAGAGTTGATTCTAATTGTCAACGTTTAGGTTGATCTGACAGATTGTTTTTTGAATACAATACATTTGTCATAAAACATTGAATAAATGATATGATTATAGTTAATTTTCATTCTAATAACAGCAATTGAGATTTTACGAAAACAACCAAATGAAATTTCAGATTTTGATCTGGTTATCATTTTGAAGTTTTAAAATATTTGTATAGATCTTTAGCATATACAGGCGTGTCCCCAACCCGAAATCCATAAGCACTTTTAAAACGCCTTATTTAGATGTTAGACACCAAGAAAATCTGGAAAACTATAGCCAGTCTGTTAAGCGAAAATCCGTAACCAACCTACTAATGTTCAGTAATTTTATCGATCATATTTATAGATAAACAAATTCCCTAAACCAATCTGCCGTACTATTGGGCTATAATAATACTAGTCAAATTTAATAATTAGATATAGATAGGCTGTTAGGCAGTCATCTCATGTTAATTTAAGGCGTCAGTCTAAGTGTTCAGCCTATCGATAGGCCATCCAGTCTAAACCCGGGATCAAATAGAACAATAAAAAAAACCCGGAAATTTTTGGTCTGTTTATGATATCCCTCACCATCCGGTTTTCCTCATTGTGAGTCCAGCCAAACCCGTGATGGACATGAGAAAGGCTCTCTTAATGCCCACAGAACAGAGAATAAATAAAACTATTCTGAGAAATGGTTTTTCCTCTTAACCCTCGATTATTTTTATACCAACGGATTGATCCACAAAACATATTTCATACCACACTACAAAAATTATAAGTAGAAACAAACATTATGTACACAATAAATCCACCTTACTCATCGGCCCGTCCTCAATATTTATACATATGTATTACATTATAATAATTTTAGCACAAATTAAGCCATAATAATATATGATTGTAATACTTTGTTTTCTTTTCGTTCATGTTAAATTAACAGAAAACTTGCAATTATTTTTTAATAATTAAATTGTATAATTATAAAGTAACAATCAAGTAAAATATTCATTCATTTCTTATTATGCAGAAAACATAACACATATTCGAGAGAATTGGAAGTAGATTTTAGTACATATGGGTCTTATAAATTCGAAGGTAATCGTCTTTACGCCAACTTTTTAATATAATTTTATATACGTTACTTAATTTTAAAGTAAATTAATATTTATTTAATGTTAATTATGATGATATAATTTTTAGAAACATCAAACCTCTATAGGGAACTCTCTGATCTGGCGTAATTACGTAAGCACCGAAAAATCTATTGTCCACTCTACGTGTAGCTTCGATGATGTTCGTGAAGATAAATTTAAGAAAAATTGGAAATTAATAAAAATGATCGAGACAAAAATCTTTACTTTGCAACACCCGAAAGACGATTCTTTCGAATGTTTGGACAGTGAAAGTGAAAAATCGTATCCTAAATGGAAAAACACCAAGTATTGTCATTGGAAAGAAATCGGCTCGGCAGATATACGGGATAGCGCTTACTATCCTGAAAAGGATATAAGAAAACAGGAATATATCCGGTGCGAGGTGAAGAGGAAGAACAAAAAACATTCGAAAACGAATGTTAGATACGAACCTACAGACAAAGGTAGACAATGCGATAGATATTCGGCATTCTTGTACAAAAAGCCTCGCAGATCAAAATCAAAAAATATGAATCGAACAGATTATGTTGAAAAATATATTGCAAGAACAAAGAAACCATTTAAGAATGAAGATGAGGATTGTTCAACCGCTAGATTGTCACCCGACTCTCTTGTCATTCCCAAATTTCACGACAGTCCATCATCCAAACCAGGAGCGAATCCCATACTACGAAAGAATCGTGAATCTAGAATCGAAGTAACTCCGAGTTTGATTCAAAATGGTAATTCTTTATTCTTTGATGGGAAATTTGTTAAAAAACCAGGAAGAAAATCGAAATTGAGTAAATCGTTGGAACAATTATCTCGAAAGGACGATATTGTTACATCTGTGGATTCTGTAGAGCAAACACTTCCGAAAACAACTAATGTAAAGAAATTACCATCGGAAGACGATGATAGAGAAGTACTCGATGCATCAGCGACAAAAGTAAAATTTCCTGCTGGCGTAAGTGTTAAATATTGTTTAAGATATAGAGAGATTTCAAGGTCGTATATCACGTGATAAAACGCACGTTTGCTCCGCTCCTTCGCCATGTTTGTGGTCTAGCTTCCGCTTGCTTATCCTGTACGTGGTTTGTTATTTGACAGGTTGGCAGTGCTATTTTTTACTTTACTATTTTAATAGAACTAAACTATTTTAACATCATTGACAAAGTTAAAAAAAATGCTTTTCTGGCGGGCTATTCTCCCAATCTGACAGGACCAGATGCTGCTTTATATGAAAATAAACTTTAATTATGTTAAGGTGTCGATCCATACGAAGCCAGCATCTTCGTTGTAAGTCAAGAGTTGTGGTGTAAAGTAGATTTTGGTGACATAAACTATCTGGTTTTGGCGACAAATTACTGTACTCGTTCATAAATGAAAAGCTTAAGTACTCTTTCATAACGCTCCTGAAATGCAGTTGGGTTGTGGCATTCTCGTACACCATGTTTAATGTTGGCACCCAGTCTGATGATGATGATGAATCTGCTAAGCGATTATCTTTGCTTAACACTTTAATATTAACTCTACCGTATATTTATTACAAGAAGACACCAAGAAAGCAAATCGAAAGGTGAAAAATAAAGTTAGAACACAATTATTATCTATTTAAACTAAAATTTATTTTGTGGGTATTAACAAAAGGATTTGTGCAATCGACTTGTACACGCTTTATGATACTCGTGCAAAAGTTTATCTAATTATTTACTGATAACTAGCAATCTGATTCTTCTTACCTGAAACTCTTCTATTGATATTTACTTTATCCGTATTGAAATTTTACCGGTTAATTCTCGAGAGCCACGCAGATTGCCTTCGTGGTGAAAGCTCCTCAGTTTGAGGTCCTTGATAATAAATAATGCCGAGAATTTAAAAAAAAAAAAATGATATTCTTTGTTCTTGAGTGAAATAGCATTACACCCAATTAAATACCAATTCACCAATTCGCGACGAATAAGCAACACGAGAACTTCAGCTAAAGTGCTCGTAAACACAAATAAAACGTTAACAAACCACAAAGATGGCGCCGGATTTTGTGATGTCGACTTGAAACCTTTCCATAGTTTTGTTTTTACTACTGAAAAAAATTCAAATTTAAAACGATTTTGTTCTTTCAAATTTATTTCTAGGTCACGTACAAGACAAAAATGAACATTTGAACATAATTTGTCAAAGTTCAAAGGACAATTATCATGTAATTTAGTCTTAAATTCACTCTTGAAAAATACGAATTTTCAAAGCAATAATATTACAAACAGATTAAATACGTCTTAATTATGCACATTGGCAAAAAATTTTCTAAAAAAAAAAAGAAGTGTAACTTTCTGAATTCAAATAAATTATTATCATATTAAAATCTGAATATCGTTGATTGTTATTGCGGAAGTGAAAATTTCATCATTGCCAAATTATTATGAGGAAGATTTCGTGTCGATAACGTAAATCTTTTTGGAAAATCAAGAAGAATGAATCTAAATTAAGAGAGAAATTCTATAGGAATCGATGGCAGGAAGTGGGTTTAAAGATTACAGATGCAATACGACGAGCAATTAAATAATTTCGCTTAATTATCTCCTCTAAAATCCGATATATCCGGTAGTGAGTGGTATATATATATTTTATTTCTACAAATGAAATTCTTGAAAATTATCAATTTACAAGTATTACAACAATTATCAATTGTTAACCACTCGGCTCTCGGCTATTTTGATTGTTGCTCTAAGGATCCGGGTTCGAATCTGGACGAGCAATTTCAAGAACTTCTCATAGGCTATCTTTTCCGTATGAGTTATCTATTATTTTTTTTTACAACTCTTAACTATTTCCTTTAAAAAAAGATTTCCCAGTTGCATCTATTGTGGATCCGAACCGGGATGGGGAAAAGGCCAACTTAGTGCTCACTGGGGGGAAAGAACAAACAAAAAAATGGTAAAAATATTTTAATTTTATACAATTTATAAGTTTTATACATTAAAAACTCTCTGTAAAAATTCGAAAATAATGTTTTTGAGTTCTTATAGTTGGCTACAACTGTAAAAATAATTCATAATTAACTGTTAAACTGTATAATTAATTGACGACATTTCGTTAAGTAACCTAATAACGTACAAGTAGAATTTTGTAAAAATAAAAGCAATTTTTTTAAAATTATATAAAAGAAATAAGATTTAGTATAACACAAATAAAATGCTAAACGTAACAATAGATAATTCTCGTGAGATTTTCGCACCGACATGACGTAAGTTCGAGTACTGGTCGTTTCCTTTCTCCTTCAATTACTTTAACGTCCGTGCTAGTAATTACGCTCTGACGCAACGAATTAAATAATAAAATAATATCACCCCGTATAAATATAACACGTAGTTTATTTATTCATAATAACAGATTTATCTGTTCGTAATTCACACAATACGTTACACCCGAAACACCGACGTCATTGAGAAATCTCTTTCAATTTAAGAAATTCCACTTCTTTAATAAGATTTAATTTATCCTTATTAAGAACAATTTGTAACGAAATTACTTTTAAGTATTTTTAATTAAAATATATATATTTTATACGAATAAAATTTAATTTAATATTTAAGAAACTATTTTTATAATTTAATGATTCTACAATCTTTAAAATACATAAATTTTTATAAATGTATTTAAATAACGATTATCTTTTGTAGTATACCAGTGACCGAATTAGCTCCTACTTTCCAGACGAATGCTCTTTCTTTTAACTCTGGAATGGTTCTATGGGTTCCACCTGCAACCATATATTCATTTTGTAAAATCGATTATAATGATTATCCTAACGATATCCAAGAATGCAACATTACTTTTGGATCATGGACCCATCACGGATTAGCTCTAGATTTGGAGATTTTAGACAGCGGATTAAGTATGGAGAACTTTCATAATTCAAATCCCGAATGGTTTGTAATAAATGCGTCTGTACACAGGAGGATTCAGTATTACGATTGTTGCTTGGAACCATACCCGAGCATTGTAACGACGTTTAAACTTAAGAGGAAACATTATTCCGATCCCGGTTTAATAATTTGGGGTCCTTCTCTAATTGCAATTTTCTTCACGCTAATCATGTTTTGGTTACCTTCTAATTCGTTGCACAAATTCATTTTGGGATGCACTTCGCTAATGGTTCTAACTGTTATGCTATTGTACGTTGGAGAAACACGTTCTTCTTCTGTCCCGTCCGTATTAACAGGTTGGTATTCTATTTCTATTTAAAAGTAAACTGTTTCAAATCATTAATTCGACTTAATTACAGCTCGTAGCATCCATTCTACCATGTTTATTGTTGCATCTGCGATGTTGATGGAGATCATCATTGTTAACTTAGGAAGAATTGCTGGAACTTTTCGGCCTCCTACCATATTAACCTATTGGTTATCGGGGATGATTGGAAAGATTATGTTGATATGCATACCTAAAAAACGATTCGGATTTGTACACAAAATGGAAGACACTCAAGATAACGAAGAAGAATTACCATCGGAAGATTACAGGGAAGAATGGTTATTGGTAGCCACAGCCTTGGATAGAATTTGTTTTGTTATCTACCTTCTAGTCTTTATTGTTCAGAAAAATGCATAAAAAAATTAAATTAATCTCACGAATATAAATTTTTAATGACAGCTTATTAATTTGTAAAAAAGATATCTTCGTAATAAACTCGAATTTTAATTTATATTTAAAAATAAGTTTTCTGTTTTTTTAAATATCCAAATCCATTTAGGTTTTTTGGACTCTCCGCCCTATTGCATCCAAAAGGCCATAGCCATCGCGAGTACAGGCAAGCCACGATAAAAGCGACCATTGGGAAATCCCATTTAGGCTTGGAGTTGATTTACATGAAATTCGTGCCGCTTTCTACATGAAATTCATGCAGAAAGCAGCACGAATTTCAGTATCCTACGAAGAACAATATAGCCGCTTTCTGCAGCTACATTGTTCTTCGTAGACTACGTTCGGCGACGTGGAAAATGAGGTGTTAACGAGAAATAATTGGCTATATACAGAGGTTTTATTGAGATTATACCGCTGAATTTATTATTACAGGGAATGAGTTCAAAACATTTCATAATAGTAAAGTCTTTAGTAACATACCGACTACAATAATGTAGACTAATGCACGGTATCGCAAAGACTTCCAGATAACGAAAACACTCGTTAATAATACTTCTTTATTGTCAAGAAATATTAAATTACTCTACAATTTTTAGAAACATTCTGTCGGAGTTATGCGAAGTACGAGTTGCGGGGTGTTTACTGTATAGTGAAATTTTACCATGTTTCTGTACTTGGTAATCAACTCAAATTATTCGTTATAAAAGAAACAAAATAATAATAATAATAATAATTTGTGAACGAACGTTTCTAACACAGATAGAAACAAAATAATTTTGTATATTTAAATAATAATGACCAAATAAATAATTTTTGGGTTGATTTAAATCTTCATCCTTTTTCAAATTCCAACTAGAGACAGATGATTCTTTTTCACAGAAATTATTAATTTAATAAATATATTATTTCATTTATTATATTGTTTAGTAATAAAACAGCAATATAATAACGCTCTTAACTTCTTCACTCATTTTTTAAATTTTATTTATTCGTACATGGTGTTCACTTAAATGTCTATTCAGGGATCTTTCCAATTTGGGTAGGTTAGGTTGTGGACGATTTGCACGATAAAAAAGTAAATTCTATATTATACATAAAGAATTTACAGCATTAAATATTTATTGCTTGTATATAAAAACTCAATTATTAATAGTACAGTATTATTGATTAAATCTACAGTGTTATCCTATAAAAGATGCTGTATAGAATTTCTATCGTTTGAAACACGTTCGTGATACCTTGTAAAAAAAAAAAGCTGTAATTTATGTTTACTTTTCTGACGTCGTTTTACAAATTATTATGCATATTGTAAAGCCATTTAAACGAAAAACAATATATACAAAGCAATAGACACAAGCTTCGAGTTGTTTAATTAAAAGTGTAACATGCTAGAACATTATTTATCGAATGTTTATAACACGTAAGGTTCCGTTTTTGACAGGTTTTACTGTATATATATATATTACTTTACAATATTTTAATTGTTGTACGATGTGTACTATTCATATACTTTTATGCACAATAAAAACTAAAAGATAAATTAAAAAACAAATTCTTTCTAACGCAATAGAAACGAGAAGCCATTCTTCACTGTAATTCTCGGACATAAATTCTCTATTCTCTTCTGTTTTATGAATAATTCCGAAACANTTTTTAACGATACAATAGTCTTTGTTAGGCTTAACATCGGCAAAAATTCAACGCAAAGCGACATGCAACGGAGAAAAATTTCGAAATCGGATACGTTAAACTATTTTTTCGTATGTAAATCAGTTATCCGGACAACCCCAGTCCCCAATTGATTCGGAAAATCAACGCTCTACTGTAATTTGATTTATTAGAACTTGTGTAAAAATAGTATTGTTATAAATTGCAAAATGTTTAAATATTTACATTAAAAGTTGGAAAAATTGTGTGTTAAAGCTTTCAAGTAATAATAATGATCATCTTTATTTTTTTGGGAATGATTTAAACACACTCTTAGATATGAGTAGATGACAGAAAAAAAATCCAGAACTCCTTCAAATTTTAGAAACAGAAATCCTTCAAAATTAATGTATATGAGATGATCAAAAAGTAACTTTACAAAGCCAATAACACAATGTTTTTATTTAAGAAATGAAAAGATAAAAGATTTATTTGCAAGAAGTTTCTTATTTCTCAACAAAACACCCAATTTCTCCACACATTTATAACATAGATAATGAGCTTTTTCATTTTGTCTTCAAAAACTTCCTGCTTCTACTGTTGCACCAATCTAATGATTACAATGTTATTACACTATCATCAATAGTGAAATAACTGCATGTATGGTCCTTCAAATTTGGGAAATTGTGAGTCATTGTCAGGAGGTGATCCAGATCAAGGCTGTATTGGAAATTAAGAACCTCTAATTGAAATTTTTGTGCAGCAAATTAATAGTCTGATATGCTGTTTATGGTCTGGCATTGTCATGGAAGAGAATTAACACTTTACAATAATTTCTTCTAATGGCCTTTTTCAAGCATTAGCAAATGGAACTTATTTGGCCCATAAAATTAAAATAACTGTTTGAACTTCTTCATAAGATCACTTTCCTGACCTTATCACAGTTTTTTCTACACTCATTCTAGTCATTTCATATTGCTAATATGAGACATTACTAACTAACATTGGAGTACACTTGACAGTATATGATTTTTAAACCATGAAAACTTTATAAACTTACTTTTTCAATTATCCTACATATTTTATATTTATAAATTACAAAAAAAAAGGTTGGTTGATGCCAATGAAATTTTTTTCTTTCACACAAAACACAAAAACTCAATAGATATGTACAGTAGCGCATCGATTATCTGAATGCCAATCAACTGAAACATTGGTTAACTGAAAGCATTCCATTCGGACTGTGTCATGCTGAATCGAACATTTTTGATACTAAATTAACTTCTAAAGTATAATTTTTTTGTTTTTATATTTTTCAATATATTTATTTTGTTTGTACAAAATAAAGAAATAATTTTTAATGATACAATAACCACGATTATTATTATAAAAAGTTTACGTTAGGCTTAACATCGACGAAAATTCAACGCAAAGCGACAC